GTGTCATGCCTTCACCGGCATTGTGCATGTAGCATAACTGCTCACAGACCCCTGATTGATCACAGAGTCTTACTGTTGTGAATATTAAAATCGAGTGAGAAGTCAAGCAGCCACGGGGCGCTGGCCTTGCAGCTGTGAGTATGCATACGGTACATATTCACATGACTCTGTATGCTGGACACTGCTGGTCCATTGTTGCAGTGTGTAAGTGAACTGCAGAACCTATTCCGTGATGAAACACCTACTCTTGAAAGACTGAATGTTTGAGCTAATAGTCTTTTACTTCACTCTCATGCTGCTCATATAATTATACCATACGCCAGAAGACCCTAAGTTAGTTCTAAGATTTTGTGGACCATATGACCATGTGGTACTTTCACTCTACAGCCAAGTCAACCCACTTCGTCAACACACAGGGTTTTCCTCAGACACAAGCGAATGGTTTACTCCACTCTGGAGAAGAACACAGTTTGCTCTCTCGAACACCAACCGCAGATAACTACGGAATGTAGGACGTGCAACAACTGCTAGAATATTGAACTGTCGTCCACACAAAACAAAATTTATAAGGCCAAACTAAAGAAGGTGTGTGGTTCGACTAACATGGACATTTTTTTTACGGGCGGGCGGGCGGATTTTTTTTTTTAAATATATTTTTTAGTACATGTAAATACACCGTACTGCCTTTAGACACCCATGTACCAGTACATCGGCATTATTACGCAGTGTTATGCCATACATGTTGTATAAAGGGATCACTGGCTAATACTTTGAAACATTGTGTAGCTCTGGAACGAGAAGAGAATAACTTCAAGCGGTGACTCTGACTGTCCAAATCATCAAGCAAATGAAGAACGATGCGAGTTGAAAGTAAGTTCGGGAACTACTTCGAAGTACAAATTGTACAATGTACCGGTACATGTATTGCTAGTTTGGTGTCGGCGTGCACGAATACATGGGCTTTTTCCATCGACGCTTCCTGTGCTTGCACACATGGAGCAGCAACTTACCGGTACAGGTGAAATATCGTTCCCAATACACGAGGAAAGTGCAATCTCGTCTGTCCTTCATCCCAAAACAGAAGGCCGTCCTTAATCTGGAACGAGGCAATCACTCTCAACCGGACGGTCACTTCAAAATAAGTCTCGCCAGTCTGCCGGTGGTCGTATCGAGTAGACTCTACTACCAGCACAAGGCAGCAGTCGTACCACTCACTGCACTGCACTGCAGTACGAGAACTACAAGTCAAGTCCAAAAGGAGCCGCCTGCGTCCGCAGACTCACGCTGCACAGCACGTAGACGTAGACGTGGACGTGTTCAGTCCACGTACGTCAGTCACACGACAGCCCGCCGAAAAAAAGTTACGGTCGGGCTGAAAAATGTACGGTCGGTCGGGTGAGTCGAACCACAGACCTTCTTCAGTGTGGCCTAAAGACAACTGAAAACCAGAACACATGCAACTGCCAACATGCATGTAACAGCGACTGCAAGCCAGAACTACAGACTCCGCGCAGGGAGGAACAGGGGAAACGGAGGTAACGCTTCCGACTCCGAGAGCTTCGAATAGCAGCGGACAACACAATACACCAACCTTGCGTGTCACCTTGCGCTACCGCAAACGGACACCTATGGATGCACAGTACTGTACTGTACAGCACAGACTCAGTGCATGCACGGTGTAATAACTGGAGTACATGTAAACCGACAACGGTCACCTTGCACCCTATGCAGTAAGTTACAGAGGCGGTGCCAACAAAAGAGCAGGGTTCGTGTATCGTGCACACTCCAATGGCACAGCAGAAAATGTTCTCACCAATAGCCACTGCTAGCTGTTTTGTCATCTTGCTGTGCCAAATGATGCAGTATAGACGCGCCAAGCAGAAATGGACTGCTTATGAGCGTGAACAGGCTGGATGGGGTGACTGATGGACTGTCGGAGTTGGCGAACCACAGAAATCGTGTCGCATCTCTGTATGCTGGGTTGGCACTGATTTGTAAAATGGCCTTCTCAGTATCGCAGGTCATGACGATTGGTGGCAAGCAAAATCGTAGAACAATGATGAATTGCCTAATGGCTAGGTCGTTGTTAGTAAGATTGCCTGAATCCTGGATGTCAACTCAGTCTAGGTCCCACAGATCTGGGATGGTGCAGGAGTCGGAAGTTGCATCAGTTAGAGAAACGATAGCTGGCATGGCTGCTCATCGGCATAGCTGAGTGCTTGGAGTGACGTGTTCGGCCAGTCACCACAAAACCGACTGTGGTAGGTAGAAACTGTAGTCCTGGCGGAAGTCCTCTGGTGCTCCCCGTCATAAATTCCCAGAGGAAATCTGCACCGATCAAGATGACTGACTATCTTACAGTCAATGGCGATACTGGTTGATGCTGCACTAGCTGCTGTTGCGCCAGATGCTGGTACCTCGTCAGCCACAGGCTGATCAGCTACTATGTTGGTCCTGCTGTCAGATTTCTGTTGAGATTCAGGGCAGATCGTGACATGATGGTGACTCTGATTGGTGACCCATGCGAGAACACACATTACACTTGCGGGTGGCCTTGCACTGAGTTGACCGGTGCCCTGTGCGCAAACACACAAAGCAACGCTTCTGTTCAATCAGTTATTCTTTCCACTGTGCTACTGTTGTGTATTTCGTGCAGCTCTTGTCCAGGTGAGATCCGCCGCAGAATGCACACCCTCTCATACTGCTGGCATTCCAGTTACCATCAGACCGCTTCCTTCACGTGAACTTGCATGCGCCTGTTACCAGTGCACCTGCAGAATAGTGAGTGACATCTTCTGCTGTAGTACCGCCTGTGTTTGTGCGGCGCAGAAAGGCGTCTTGCATGATAACGCTTCAGTGCTGTTCTGAAGTCGTTCAGTTTCCATTGTGTCCCTGCATCTGAAAAGCCTCGCGATTCTTCGTCGTCAGGTTGCGATTCGTCCAGTTGAATCAGCGTTCGTCATGATCCGTATCTTGGTCACAGCACCATGTGATGATCTGGTGACATCAGACGGATATAATACACAAGAGACAATTGTGATATTTACTTCAGATACATAATCTAAATAAGGCCGAGTAAAAAAAATTACTAGATGATCGTCCTTTTTTTTGGAAAAATCGGGGAGGGCGGGAGGATTTTATTTTTATTTTTTTACTTTTTACCCTCTCATGCACACAGTGTACACAACAACATCAAGGTTTTTTTTCTCTTTTTTTCTTTTTTTTTCTTTTTTTCTTTTTCTTTCTTCAGCAGATCGATACTGACGTTGTGATATACTAGTAGTATGTGGTCCATATAGTAAAGAAAGTATTAAACAAAGCGTGCACATGTTTCCTGCATCCGCGATCGGTAAAAAACCAACGATTTCGGCAAAACTCACGATTTAAAAAATAAAATATTTCTTGGGGCGCTGACAAAAACTGGGGCGGACGGGGACGATCATCTAGCTTTTTTTTTTACTTGGCCTAAAAGGGGGTTTGTCAACCGACAACCGCTCTATTTAGTTGCTATTCACTCTTTAGATGAAAATTCTTTTATTAATTATGTCGAAAAATTATGCGGTTGTCAGTTGACAACCCCCCTTTTATTTACAATGCAGTTGCGTGATGTCCACCACTTTCTGTGCATAATCTAAGAGTTCTAAAGCAGCCACTGACTTCCAACTATCAAGGGAAAGCAAGCCCAAGCGCAGGAGAACCGTGCAGCGCGGGTACGTGACATATATCGTAGTAGAGCTGGCAGGCAGGGCATGATCAGGGGTTCAGGCCCTGCCTGTAAGCGCTCTGATTGGCTCAAACCCTGGCAACAATCACGTGACATGTCTGAAAGTACAAGTAGTTGCGATTTATGCTGAAGTTCAAACTGATGGAACACGTGCAGCGCTACACCATGAACCGTGTGGAAACAAAAAGAAGTAGCAGGGGCGTAGCAGACGCTCCGGCCGGACCACTTTTTCGCCCGACCACGACCACCATAGTAAAACAATGCCAAAAGTGCCCAGAATGCAGGATTTTGTACCCTAATTTCAAAAAAATTAGGGGGGAGATCTCCCCGAACCCTCCCCCCCCCCCCCCCGGCCGGACCACCGCCAACGGCGGTGCTACGCGCAGTGCTACGCAGTGTTCACCTGGTCACCACGCCAGCAGGCGACAACTTTCACACCAAGGTTCAACTCGAGTTCAACTCGAGTGACAGGACTGCACCCAAAAAAGGTCAAACAGGCTAGTAAGTTGTACCCTGCAGGCACGGTGACCAGGTGACTGGCGTACGCAGGAGCACGTGACCGCTTGTTCAACCATGTTCGATTGGGAATAAAGGAGGAACGCTGCATCGCAGCCTTTTCGGACCAAAACCAGTCGACTCAGCGTCCAAAAGACTACAACATATGGGCCAATCGCGGTCATCCGTGCTTTTATAAGAACGAAACGGCGCTTTTAGTGACATTTTGCATACAAATCCCCATCTAGTAGGGCGCAGTCACCCAGTTTCGGTGGAAGTACGCGAGTTCGATTGGGATTCAAGTAGGAAGGGAGCGTCTCAGCTTCCTCGGACCACGACCATTCGACTCAGCACCCCGAAGACTACAACTGGTGAAATTTTAATTTTTGCCTTAACTTCCCCTTTAAGTGACGGTCCCTTTAGTCCTTCGCCCCTGAAACGAACATGATTCATTTGGGGGGAGGGGGTGCGAGCCAAAATCGCAAGTCGACCGACACTGTACATAATTATGACATGTACATGCATGCAATTTTCGTCGTCCAGCATAGCAAGCTGTGTTCGTTTCAGAGGGAGGGCTAGGGGAGGGGGTCCAAGTACGAAATGAACGATGTTCGTTTCAGGGACGACAGAAAACTTTTGCGACGACCCCTTAGGCAAACATTTGTTTTATCAGTGTTCTTCCTAACGAGGTTTCACTGTAGACTAGTGTAGTACATACATGACGTGTATGGGAAACCACGGAGCAGTGGTGACGACGGCCCGGTGCGAAGCTTGAGCGCCATCCGGGGCCGGGTGTAGTTATCATGGTTATTCTGCACTGCAGCCTTGTGCAGGTGAGTTGTTACAACATCTCCCCCCAACTGGCCCAAGTCTGTTTGTAACAGTAGCTACCGTAGCTCATTCGGAAGAGTGTCTCATCCTGGCAGAAGTCTATTTCCTTCTGTCGAATTATTTTAGTAGTGAAGTCATGAATTCAGGAGGGCTAGGTGAATTCTTGGACGAATGCTACTTTCAGACATCAGTAGTGGCAGGCGGAAATGTTTTGTTTGCATTGCTGCGAAGTAATAATTATTATTAGTTGCTTAGTGCAGGAGTACGAGTACATGCACTCAGAGTGCAGAGGACTAAAGGGACCGTCACTTAATTTTTGCCGACTACCCGCCAAAAAAATCTTTTCGTTTCACGTGTCAGACACGTCCGCGAGCGCGCGCGTACGACTCGACTCGACTCGCTACCTTTCACGTCACGTCAAGCAATCTGTTCACGCCACATGGCTGGATAGCGCGTACATGCAAACATGATTGTCAGATTGAAGACTTGCAAAATTAATTTTACAAGTCCAGGCGCTAGGCCTAGGCGCACAGAATGCGTAATGCTAATGGCAGCTGACTTTATTTTCGGAGAAACACTACTCATTGTAGTAAAAAGTAACAATGAATAGCGATATCATCTAGGAAGGATCGCTACCCTAACGCGAAGGAAAGGCCTTGCGCGGCTGCTCTACGAAGTGTTGAAGAATGACTCAAAGTTAGTTGGTGGACGAACAACTCGCAGTGGTGCCGGAAAACTTGGCCCCCAACGATGGTGTTTGGTGAATCATCAAGCATAATGTCTTGTAGCAGTGTTCACCGAGGAAGGAGAACGCTCTAGCCGCTGCTGTTGTCCGTTTCATCCACGTTGGGCGTTAGCTGCACCGCGCCTATTGTGTTTTAGTATTCCATGGACACACATTAGCATTCAGAGCGATTGTGGAGCCACAATTTACTTCACACAGCGTTGTATTGTCCACGAGCGCAAACTTCATTATCAGCAGTAACTGTTACTCTTCATCCTACGTGTAGATTTGGAGTATACACGGCCTTGTCACGACAGCGACAGCTCTACAGAGTGTTCAAGTGCGAAATATTAATTTCAATTGTTGGTGGACGAATAAATGGCTGGTTCCGAAAAACGCGGCCTGCACCGATGGTGTTTGGTGGATCATCAAACGGGGTGACCAGCAGTGTTCACCGAGGAAGGAGAATGCACTCACCACCACTGTCGTCTGATTCATCCAAGTGGGCGTTAGCTGCGCTGCGCCTATTGTGTTTTAGTATTCCATGGACGCACACTAGCGTTCTCAGCGGTTGTGGAGCCACAACATATCTTCATGCGGCGTTGCACTGTCCAAGAGCAGAAACGTCAGCAGTGGCCCATCATCATACATGTAGATTTGGAGTATACACACCATGCGCCAATGGGCCTTGGCACAACAGCGGCAGCTCTACGGAGTGTTCAAGTGAGAAACATTTGTTTCGACTTGGTGGACGAACAAATCGTCGGTGCCGAAAAACGTGGCCTGCGCCGATGGTGCTTGAAACATCAAGCATGGTATATGGTGACTGTTAGTGTTCATCGAGGAAGGAGAACACTCAGGCCGTCGACCATTCATCCATTTCGTTAGCTGCACTAAGTCTGTTGTGTCCTTGTATTCCATGGGCACACACTCATGAAGCATGGCGTCTGAGCTGTGTTCACAGAGCGGGGAGATGCTCTTGCTGCTATCTTATCTGTCCTGTGTATTCCCAAGTGCCGAAGGCTCACAACAATGGTGTTGGACAAGTCAGATAAAATAGAGTCAACGTAAGTACGCATGTGTACTCTTACCGTGACTGAAACATAAGTGGGGTGTAAGAGCTAATTCATATGGTGTCGTGACATTCACATGTACGAGGTTAGTGTGTAGTACTTGTTACGTACTGAATTCTGTGACTTTGTTTTGTCTCCATATACTGCATGCATTCACGTTTCACAGTTATCAGTTTGCCCCTGAGTTCATGTCTGTTATCCCGTGTCTCCTCTACTCAGGCGCGTAGCACCGCCGTTGGCGGTGGTCCGGCCGGGGGGGGAGGGTTCGGGGAGATCTCCCCCCTAATTTTTTTGAAATTAGGGTACAAAATCCTGCATTCTGGGCACTTTTGGCATTGTTTTACTATGGTGGTCGTGGTCGGGCGAAAAAGTGGTCCGGCCAAAGCCGGACCGGCCGGAGCGGCTGCTACGCCCCTGCTACTTCTTTTTGTTTCCACACGGTTCATGGTGTAGCGCTGCACGTGTTCCATCAGTTTGAACTTCAGCATAAATCGCAACTACTTGTACTTTCAGACATGTCACGTGATTGTTGCCAGGGTTTGAGCCAATCAGAGCGCTTACAGGCAGGGCCTGAACCCCTGATCATGCCCTGCCTGCCAGCTCTACTACGATATATGTCACGTACCCGCGCTGCACGGTTCTCCTGCGCTTGGGCTTGCTTTCCCTTGATAGTTGGAAGTCAGTGGCTGCTTTAGAACTCTTAGATTATGCACGGAAAGTGGTGGACATCACGCAACTGCATTGTAAATAAAAGGGGGGTTGTCAACTGACAACCGCATAATTTTTCGACATAATTAATAAAAGAATTTTCATCTAAAGAGTGAATAGCAACTAAATAGAGCGGTTGTCGGTTGACAAACCCCCTTTTATTTAGATTATGTATCTGAAGTAAATATCACAATTGTCTCTTGTGTATTATATCCGTCTGATGTCACCAGATCATCACATGGTGCTGTGACCAAGATACGGATCATGACGAACGCTGATTCAACTGGACGAATCGCAACCTGACGACGAAGAATCGCGAGGCTTTTCAGATGCAGGGACACAATGGAAACTGAACGACTTCAGAACAGCACTGAAGCGTTATGTTATCATGCAAGACGCCTTTCTGCGCCGCACAAACACAGGCGGTACTACAGCAGAAGATGTCACTCACTATTCTGCAGGTGCACTGGTAACAGGCGCATGCAAGTTCACGTGAAGGAAGCGGTCTGATGGTAACTGGAATGCCAGCAGTATGAGAGGGTGTGCATTCTGCGGCGGATCTCACCTGGACAAGAGCTGCACGAAATACACAACAGTAGCACAGTGGAAAGAATAACTGATTGAACAGAAGCGTTGCTTTGTGTGTTTGCGCACAGGGCACCGGTCAACTCAGTGCAAGGCCACCCGCAAGTGTAATGTGTGTTCTCGCATGGGTCACCAATCAGAGTCACCATCATGTCACGATCTGCCCTGAATCTCAACAGAAATCTGACAGCAGGACCAACATAGTAGCTGATCAGCCTTTGGCTGACGAGGTACCAGCATCTGGCGCAACAGCAGCTAGTGCAGCATCAACCAGTATCGCCATTGACTGTAAGATAGTCAGTCATCTTGATCGGTGCAGATTTCCTCTGGGAATTTATGACGGGGAGCACCAGAGGACTTCCGCCAGGACTACAGTTTCTACCTACCACAGTCGGTTTTGTGGTGACTGGCCGAACACGTCACTCCAAGCACTCAGCTATGCCGATGAGCAGCCATGCCAGCTATCGTTTCTCTAACTGATGCAACTTCCGACTCCTGCACCATCCCAGATCTGTGGGACCTAGACTGAGTTGACATCCAGGATTCAGGCAATCTTACTAACAACGACCTAGCCATTAGGCAATTCATCATTGTTCTACGATTTTGCTTGCCACCAATCGTCATGACCTGCGATACTGAGAAGGCCATTTTACAAATCAGTGCCAACCCAGCATACAGAGATGCGACACGATTTCTGTGGTTCGCCAACTCCGACAGTCCATCAGTCACCCCATCCAGCCTGTTCACGCTCATAAGCAGTCCATTTCTGCTTGGCGCGTCTATACTGCATCATTTGGCACAGCAAGATGACAAAACAGCTAGCAGTGGCTATTGGTGAGAACATTTTCTGCTGTGCCATTGGAGTGTGCACGATACACGAACCCTGCTCTTTTGTTGGCACCGCCTCTGTAACTTACTGCATAGGGTGCAAGGTGACCGTTGTCGGTTTACATGTACTCCAGTTATTACACCGTGCATGCACTGAGTCTGTGCTGTACAGTACAGTACTGTGCATCCATAGGTGTCCGTTTGCGGTAGCGCAAGGTGACACGCAAGGTTGGTGTATTGTGTTGTCCGCTGCTATTCGAAGCTCTCGGAGTCGGAAGCGTTACCTCCGTTTCCCCTGTTCCTCCCTGCGCGGAGTCTGTAGTTCTGGCTTGCAGTCGCTGTTACATGCATGTTGGCAGTTGCATGTGTTCTGGTTTTCAGTTGTCTTTAGGCCACACTGAAGAAGGTCTGTGGTTCGACTCACCCGACCGACCGTACATTTTTCAGCCCGACCGTAACTTTTTTTCGGCGGGCTGTCGTGTGACTGACGTACGTGGACTGAACACGTCCACGTCTACGTCTACGTGCTGTGCAGCGTGAGTCTGCGGACGCAGGCGGCTCCTTTTGGACTTGACTTGTAGTTCTCGTACTGCAGTGCAGTGCAGTGAGTGGTACGACTGCTGCCTTGTGCTGGTAGTAGAGTCTACTCGATACGACCACCGGCAGACTGGCGAGACTTATTTTGAAGTGACCGTCCGGTTGAGAGTGATTGCCTCGTTCCAGATTAAGGACGGCCTTCTGTTTTGGGATGAAGGACAGACGAGATTGCACTTTCCTCGTGTATTGGGAACGATATTTCACCTGTACCGGTAAGTTGCTGCTCCATGTGTGCAAGCACAGGAAGCGTCGATGGAAAAAGCCCATGTATTCGTGCACGCCGACACCAAACTAGCAATACATGTACCGGTACATTGTACAATTTGTACTTCGAAGTAGTTCCCGAACTTACTTTCAACTCGCATCGTTCTTCATTTGCTTGATGATTTGGACAGTCAGAGTCACCGCTTGAAGTTATTCTCTTCTCGTTCCAGAGCTACACAATGTTTCAAAGTATTAGCCAGTGATCCCTTTATACAACATGTATGGCATAACACTGCGTAATAATGCCGATGTACTGGTACATGGGTGTCTAAAGGCAGTACGGTGTATTTACATGTACTAAAAAATATATTTAAAAAAAAAAATCCGCCCGCCCGCCCGTAAAAAAAATGTCCATGTTAGTCGAACCACACACCTTCTTTAGTTTGGCCTTATAAATTTTGTTTTGTGTGGACGACAGTTCAATATTCTAGCAGTTGTTGCACGTCCTACATTCCGTAGTTATCTGCGGTTGGTGTTCGAGAGAGCAAACTGTGTTCTTCTCCAGAGTGGAGTAAACCATTCGCTTGTGTCTGAGGAAAACCCTGTGTGTTGACGAAGTGGGTTGACTTGGCTGTAGAGTGAAAGTACCACATGGTCATATGGTCCACAAAATCTTAGAACTAACTTAGGGTCTTCTGGCGTATGGTATAATTATATGAGCAGCATGAGAGTGAAGTAAAAGACTATTAGCTCAAACATTCAGTCTTTCAAGAGTAGGTGTTTCATCACGGAATAGGTTCTGCAGTTCACTTACACACTGCAACAATGGACCAGCAGTGTCCAGCATACAGAGTCATGTGAATATGTACCGTATGCATACTCACAGCTGCAAGGCCAGCGCCCCGTGGCTGCTTGACTTCTCACTCGATTTTAATATTCACAACAGTAAGACTCTGTGATCAATCAGGGCTCTGTGAGCAGTTATGCTACATGCACAATGCCGGTGAAGGCATGACACAGTAGAATATGTGATTAGGAACAGACGGAAATTAGGAAGTGTTCATACAATATAAGTGAGGGATGACTCCTATTAGTACACCACGGCATACTCAAAACAACAACAAGGCAATGTGCAAAACTCTGATACCGGTACGTTAATAGGGGAAATTGAACAAGGTAATCTTTAGACAAAACAAAGTAAGGAGGAATGTTGTAGAGCCATGCGTATGAATCAAGGTGAGCAAGACCAAAATAGGAAAGGAAAGGTCTACCTGTATGTAGTCCGCGTTCATCTCATTCCAGTGTTCAGCATTGTGTTAGGCAGTACTGTGTCGTTCTGTTGGTTCCCAGGTTGGCTTCCAACACCAGGCTCATGGAATCCCATCTGACAGCTGCATATACTACTAAAAACATGTAGGTAACTCCCTTCGGATAATCTTGGTATAGACGGTAGAGGCGAAGGACTGGCAGTTGTTGAAAGGTAAATTGTACTGACTACGCACCACATCGGAGCAGTACAAAAGTCCTACGAACTCCTGCAGCGGGTACACCGAGGCTAGAGTGGTTCTGTGGGTCTGTTCAACGCTATCACCACGGGTCTTACCACGGTAAAGTAGTACACGGCCACGTTGCTTGCTTCTTTGCAATGTAACGCCTTCAGAGTTCTTTTCGATGGACCACCACCAATTCTTGGTCTGGAACACGATAAATTCATGGTAAAACAAGCCCATTTCTGGCAGCCACGGTACGAGGGGATTCTTGTGTCTCTCTATCTCTGTTATGGACTCGGCATAATCGCTACCAAAGGCAATGAGGTCTCCGAGTGACTCTCTCAGCTGGTTGTCATGAACTGTCCAACAAGATGTAGAGCCATAATCCAGAAAGAACACTACTGCCTCGTAGTTGCTACCCTTGGAGCCCGATAGGCTGCTTCCCCAGCTGCCCATTGGTCTGGCTGGCAACTACGCTGAATGGGATAATAATTATTATCGTCGCCAGTCGCCACTCACGCTTAGACCAACGACATGGGGTTCCGTTGTGTCACACTTCCCGTTGTCCTTGACTCGAAGTTAGGTAAATGTTTTTACCTCTCGTCTTGATTCACCATTCCACAAACGGAACGTCGTTACTTTATTATTAGAAGACTGTATTATTACTCTTTCATTCTCATGCCAAACAGCTAACTCATACTAAACAAGAATGACCAAAAACTAGTGACCTGCACAACCGAAGCAGGAACCTAAAAACTCTAACACCCCAAGGAAAACAAGCCCCCTCTACGCCTACGGATCACGGACTACAATCCCGATCCTAGCCTAGCAGCAAATGATACATACATACAAGTCGATGACAAAAGCGGTGCCGGTGTTAGGTGACAGCTGCATACGAATGCATGAAAGGGGTCAGACAGTTCATGTATCATGTGTACATGGTGTACCGGCAGTTGTAACTGGAGCCGACTGAAAGTCAATACATCAATAGCAGTGTTAGTCATACATGAAGTCCAGACTACAGAAAGTGTGGGTGTTGCTTGTCGCCAACGTCGCCTACGGGGCAACAGTAAAATAAGGTATAGTTAAGGCCAAGTAAAAAAATCCTAGTTTATCGTCCCCGCCCGCCCCATTTTTCGAGGCCGCCCGGAATTTATTTTTATTTTTAAATCTAGAATTTTGCCAAAAAGCTTGATTTTTTACGTCGGCTAAGGCTTGAAGGCTTGTCCCTCAGGGGAAGAAGTGAATTGTATTCCAACATGTTCCCTTTATGACTGACTATTGGTTACTGTCCTGACTGGTTCTTTCCCTTCTGCAGCTTTCTATCATTTATCTGGTGGTCTGTGTGAACCAAACAGTATTGGGGTTTGTGTCTTATGAGTGGAGTGACAATCTGTCGATCCAAAGATTTTGCATGTAATTGTTTATGTACATATAACTGTTATAGCATTGTGTATTCCATACACTACCACTATTCTGTTGCAGATTGTTGCACATGATGTGTCATTGTTTACCAAGAACTATACTAGTCTGTAGCACATCGTATTTTTACAGTGTAGGTCTGAAGCAGTTTCCCACGCTCCTGTGTTTTTGGGCTTTTTTAGCTGTGTAGAGACCGTCCCATGCCAGGTACAACACTGTCCTGGGCTATGGCGACAGGCGTGCCAGTAGATGTCGAGTGTCCGGCAGATCTGGTGTCCCCCACCTTTGAATCGGCAAGTTCAAACCAGAGTACTAGTATGGAGAAATCTTACTTTCTGAAGATCGTTGAGATACTGGAGCTAGACCGCAGTGCAGCTGAGGATAGGGAGAAACGACTTCTAAATCGTATCGACCACCTTACGCGGAAGGTAGAAGCGCTCACAAACGAGATGACGGCTTTGCAGTCTGCTCAAGACGACAATGGCGGCCAAAGACGCCAAGGATCTCCCTCGGTGCAAAAATCATCCCAGAAGAAACAGAAGCGAGTTGCAGCTTCCAGCCCTGGCGTACCCGTACCCGTAGCTGGCTGTCCTCAAAAGGAACTAGTGCGAGATTCGGTTGAACCATGCTCCTCAGTTGTACGTACCGAACAACAAGATACCAGCGTGACTGAAGCGTCCATGGTGCATCAAATGGACCCAGATGCTCCAACTGATGCAAAACCTGGCAAACAAGGACTCTCCAGAATGCTCCCTACTTTTGAAGAGGATGCGGAAGGCAGCAATTTATGGCAGCTGATCTGCACCAAGAAGCCAACAGGAAGGAAGGCTGTTCTGTTTGTAGGCAACCTCCGGAAGGATTGCGATGCAGATACCCTTTGTCAATACGTACAACAAAGGGCACAAGAGGTTGGCGTGAAGGTGCAAATCCATGATTGCACGCTATTTCCCAAGGAGAAAGGTCACTCAGCCCGACTCATTCTCAACAGAACGAGTATTGAACTTGTAAATACAAAGGAATTTTGGCCATCTCCGTACTACAGTCGAAAATGGAACTTTGACAAGTACCCTGGATCTGGGAACTCAGTGGCTATGCAGAAGCCTGACGGACCAAAAGATCAGTCAGCAACCAGCGATCTCAACGATGGAGTGCTTACCCGCAGCAAATCTAAAGGTCAATGCTGACAATCTCATTTCTGAATGTTTGCAGCATCAGACGGAAAGTGGATGAGGTGAAGGAGTTCCTGTCGGCCAGAGGAGTGCACATCTTTGGTATGTCAGAAACCTGGTTGAAACCCGATGTTGGTGATGGAGAATTGGCGATTCCTCATTACAAACTTTTCAGGAAGGACCGCCCCATCCAGCAAGGTGGTGGCGTCGGCATTTACTGCCATGAGTCTGTGGTTGTCCGAAGACGAATGGATTTGGAAGCTGCTGAGCTAGAGATTGTATGGCTGGAAGTCAGATGTCCTGGTGATACTCTCCTTGTCGGGTGTGGGTACCGTCCTCCAGACAAGCCAGTGCCGTACTGGGACTCTCTTCAAGAGAACATAGAAACTGCTATGGAAGGCCCTCAGGCATCTACCGTTCTCATTGGAGACTTCAACATTGATTACAGCTGTGAGAACTCTCCGAACGCACAACATCTGCACCGAGTACTATCCAGTAGTAATCTTCGGAATTATGTCACCTCACCAACTCGTGTCACGAGCCACACGGCTTCAACCATAGATCTGTTTCTGTCAAATACACCCATTTCTGGTGCCTGTGAAACGATTTACGGAGATATTAGCGACCATTTCGCCATCCTTGCACACTTGCCTGTAAACCAGACAGGGGTAAACCGAACATCACAACCCGGACAGAGTCGCCGTATCCACACCATCGACTGATCTGTGTGTCCACTTTCATCAGTTCCCTCGGAACGGCACGATAAATGACATGACAGGTGCATTCACGTCTGCTATTATGGAAACACTAGATGAGCACGCCCCCTTGGTGGCGAAGCGCAAGCGTGGTCGCCGTATCTGTCCTTGGTTAACTGAGGAGTTGGTATCTGCAGTACGGCACCGCAACAGGCTACACCATCGACTCATGAAGGATCAAGCCAATGAGGTGCTTCGTGAGCAACATCGGCTCGCCAGAACTTTTGCCAGGAAGCTTGACCGAAAGCTTCGTAACCTGTACTTCGTAAACCAGTGCAACACACCTGATCAGCGGAAACTTTGGTCAGCAATGAACAGTCACAGGGCGACGGAAGGAACGTCAAATACCTCAGGTTTCTGTTGAGGATCTCGGCCAGGTCTTCGGTGAAATTGTCAATGACCCAAGCAGACCACAGAATCTGCACCCGCCACTTGGGCCAATGCCAGCCAACAGTCTTCACGTCTTCAAACCTGTAAGTGTTGCAGATGTTGAAAAGTGTCTTAAAGCTGTGGATCCATTCAAAGCTGCCGGCAGTGACTCTGTACCTGGAATTGTCCTGCGGCAATGTGCAAATGTGCTTGCTCCACCACTTTCCTGTATCATTAATAGTTCACTACAGAGTTTTTATTGGAGTGCTCAGGCATACTACGATTGCTGAGACGTCCCGAGCACGCTTGTTCAGGTTCTCTATTTTTGACGAGCCGGTCCTACAGCCCCCTAGATTGTATCTAACGACATAGGA